GTGTGTGTGTGTGTGTGTGTGTGTGTGTGTGTGTGTGTGTGTGTGTGTGTGTGTATGTGTGTGTAATTGTATAAATAATTGATGATTTAGCAAAGCTTGGTTTATCATTGGTGCAATTAATCACGATATTAAATTAAAGATTTAATGTCATGGTATTAAAAGTTAAAAGTAATGAGATATAGTAAAAAAGTTTCAAAATGTATAGGCTGTCCTGGAATCACTCGAAGTGCTTTATGATGCACATTTTGCTAACTATAAAACTAACTTTCCTTTAATAGAAAATGTTGTGTATTTGTCCTGTATAATTAATAACTAATAGAACAATACCTTCTAAATAATTAAAAATGTATTAGAATTTTATTTTGTACTAAAAAAAACCATATTACAAAGTATATATTCAAAATAGAACAAATTATTACATCGAGAGAGAAGATTGACTTCAGATTAATTGAATGATTCTAAAAAAAAATTATGAGATTCTTGGATTATGTAATTATTATTAATATCTATTAATTAATAATAATTAATTTTACGACGTTACTTAAGTAGTTTGCGTTTGCTACAAATACACGGAACAATTAGAGCTTAAAAAGAAAACCAAAACAGAGAATAGCAATGATAAAATTAATAAAGATATAATGCTGGATGCAATAGCTATTAAAAAAGTAAATACACACATATGCAGATAAAGTTCTTATGATTAAATATTATACGTTAAACATATAATACGTATTATGTTTAAGAAATAAAACTTATTCAGATAAAAAAAAATTAACAAATTTATTTTGAAATTGCAACCAAATATATGCAAAGTAAATAATATATATCATATATTAATATTGTACCTTATTATTATTAAGTTCATAGTAGTCACAGAACATTATATTCTTTTATGCGCTTATAATTCAGATACACTTATGACACACAAGACATAATATCTTATCTCTTAATGTTTGCGACATATAATTATTATTAACTAAGTCTCTAATACTTATGTAATTATTCGATTATGTTATACACATAATGTTACACCTACAAATATCACAAAAAGAAAGCTTTTTTTAATTAATTGTAAGTATAAATATTATAAATACACGTTTCATTAATTTTTATTACATAAAATTCATATTTTATTATTTTATCGGTTTTACATCCACTTTCACTTCACTCTATTTTATTTATGTATAAATTTATTTAAATCATATATATTTAGTAAAATTAATTTTATAAATCTATACTAATTTATATTAAATTGCATTTTACACAATTTAGCTTTATCAATTGTAAACTTTTAATTGTTAACTTACAAATAATAATTATATTTAAATAAAAAATTTTTTTCATATTTTTCAACCCGAATATTGCAAAATGAAGATGCTGTGTAATTACTTTTTATTCGAGTTTATCAAGACTTCATACTCTTTTGATAAATTATTATAATTATACATTTCTATTCCAACTTACTGACCACATTCAATTTAACATTTATTTTATAACTGTCACCTATAGCTTCATAGAGATAAAATTATTTCCTCTAAATTTAAAAGTAAAATCCAATCGGCACAAACTGTCGGCAAAAACTGCCAATAGTTGCAAAATAAATGTTCTGCTGAACGCGACCATTTACAATAACTGATTAATTTATAGAGCTGTTTAAAGTTTAAAGTTCTTTTCGTATTTTTAAATTGGAAAACGCACTATTTAGCAGTGGCGTAATAAAGAAAGATTGCACCCGGAGTGGTCTCTTCTTTCTCACAAACTTCTATGGCTTTTTTATTACACTACCGATATTACACCGCAATTGTCAATAGATCTATTTTGCAGGTTTCGCCCCTTTGCTCCTACATACGTTTTTGTAAATTACGTAAAAAATAAGCAACAATATCTAAATTTTAAGTAACTGAAAACTGAAAACATTTAATAAATCTATTTTTTTTAATAATGGTGATATTCATAGTCCATTCGTATTTTAAAACTGCCTTAACTAATGTCTTAAGATGCTAATATCCTCTGATTGGTTTATGATAGCTTAACACTATACTTAAGACAATTTCAAATATAAGAATCGACTATGAATATCGGTCTAAAATAAATCATGCGGAGAAGAAAAGAATTATAAGCATTAATAGTATAAAAAAAAACAGTTTTCTTATTCTTACCGAAAATTATGGCAGCATTCGATGAAAGGAACGCTAATAATAAAACTCATAGATTAAACATTCGAGTTTAGAACATTAAAAATGCATTTATATATTTGCCTTTAACAAAATGTCACAAACAAATTTATTCCTACTACAGCAAAAAAGAATTAGCCATATAAGCTAACAATTTGACTTCAATTCCTTTGTCTTTTATTTGAGAAGCGGAGATAATTTTTATTTACAAATAAATCTTCGAACCCAAATTTTTGCTTGTAACGAGAAAGTACTGCTGAATTAATATCTTTGCTAAGACAGAACTTAAGGCGAATCGTCTCTTACTACGTCATTGCTGCTTAATAAATTATGATGAAATATAAAAAAGTTATTTATAAAAATAACAAATAATGTTTTGATAGAATATTTTTCTGTGTTCAGTTCTGTTTAATTATATCATGCCATAGCTAGCTTATAATGATTAATTTGTAATCACTCTGACTTGCAAGTGACTGACAAGAATAACTGCAGAATATGTCACGCTGTGTGTATTATCACAGTAGGCACACAATTGCACTTGAAAAATCAAGTCGACATAAATTTTAGCCAACAAAGAAATAAATCGATTTTATTTATTGTCTCTTTTGAATAAGCTTGCGAGCTATATTATAATGCACAGTTACATAAACAAAAGAAATACAAAATTATTTACAAAGGTTTATAATTATTTAAAACAAAGGTTTACAATTATGAAAAAGAATAAAGTAACTTACATTCCCATGTACCAAATCTCAAGGATGACGATTGGTATTATTGCTGCTAATAGTAGGTACATCGACATCATGTTAATGGTTACTGTTTCTTTACAGTATTTTCTTGTCACAAGTCCTTTCTTCGATCAATTCCACAAACTTGTTATAAGAGATTGTTTTATTGTTATTATGTTAAGTTATTGTTATTATGTATGAGTGAATGTAAATTATTTGGATACAAGAAGAAAAAATAATTATGAGAAAATATAATGCATGAATTATATTCATATATAAATATAAATGTGTATTGTATTATATGCATAAAATAATCTTTGTTTACTATTTCTGAGCATTAATAGAAATTTATAATTTACATTATTTATTAATTTATATTATTTTGTCTGACAAGTACAATTATTATACATTTATTAAATATTACATTTTAATTAAAAAATAATATTTCTTTAATAATATATGTCATCTAGAAATAATACGTAATAGACTTAGAGACATAAATTTACTAGAGATTACCTATTTTTATTATCACTTTTCATTTCTATACCTAAAAAATTGTATGAATAAAACTAACAATCAACCAACTTCCTTAAAAATTATACAATGAGTCAAAGCTTCTAATTCTTGACTAAAATAAAAAATTCTGCACATATTCTTTCTCTAGTATACTCTTTACATTTTTTTAGAGTTAATGTAAAGTTGTAGATAATAACTATGATTAGTATAGCGACTCTAGTACCTAGAAAAACGATAGTAAAAGTTACGCTATCGATTAAGAAAAATCGATTCCGAACAAAAAAAAGGAATTAACTTCTACAGACAAAGAGTGCCTACATGCAGTTTTAAATGAGGCGAGTACCTTCTCACAAAACGTTTCTTTGGTAACCAATATATCATTATAATTGAATGATATAAAGCATTATCAAACTTGATAACCTGAAGATTGATAGGTATTTGGATAATTAGCACTCATGCTGTTTGTATATACAAATAACAGTTATAACGACAATCGTAACTACGTGTACGTTTACATCACGTACATACAGAAAGCAAAACATCGGACGCTCGGACGAAAATATATTTCATTACGTTTGTCTTATTTAAACGCGACTTTGTGTTTGAGCAAAACTATGTTCGATCGCATGCCTTCGCTATACTCCGGTTTCCACTTAATACTGAATAATACTGAAGAACACGTACACGAGTATACGAGGACTAACGTTAACCAACATTTCAACGGTCAAATCAACCCGTGATCTCGAACGTGATATAGAAGTTCGCTTAAAAAAGTGACATGAAGTAAGAGATTACTAGGTCACAGGGGGTGCTTTCCAATTGCAATATCCCTAGGCACTTTCGTACACACAAGTTGCGTTCCAATTGTCTGTTATCATCGACACAATGCTACATATCTGGGGGATGATCTGTCTTCAAACAAAATAAAAATTAGCGAATTTATTAGAATATTAATAATTTCAATGATCAACATCTCGTAAATTTGCTCACTTTTGTAATTTTATCATTTCAAGATACAGAGGCTGCGTTCGGAAATACTCGTGTGTACTCGGTGTGCACTAGTGTGAGATCGTTCGAAAGAGTGCCACGAAATCATGCGAAAAGCAAGGGGAGTGATGTGTTAATACAGACTTGGATAACGTATAATGCATAAGGGAATCGACCAATCGAAATTCTTCTTTTCTATGGGAAAAAAAAGGACAATTACATCGCGTTTTTGGGTCAGAAAATTTTGAACAGTTATATTAATCTAGTAAGTTTGTTTAAATTTTACTATTTTTTTATTTATTTTTATTCTAATTTTCTTTTTATATTGCTCTGCCTTTAATAATATTTTACGTACATTAAACAGACTATTTATATAAATGTTGTAAAATTGTATGTGTCCAGTACTATTTAGAACAAAACTAACTGTTCTAAGATCGACAATAAGCCTCGCAGGAATTAATAGATCTTTAGACGATGAAGCAACATCCAGTATCTAAAGTTTTATATTACTGATGTCAATTTTTTTTAAGGATTTACAATAATAAGACCTGTTACATTCAGAATATAGCTGGTTGTCAAACCTGTTATTCTGATTCTATAATGAGTCGGAAATTTCAATCGGTAAAGTTGACCAATAGCCAACTTGTAAGATTAACACTGATTAATCAAATTCGTCGATTAAGGTTAATAGGCCTTTTACAATGAGCCATAAGTCATAAATTAGAAGTCAGAGACTAAAAATTGACTACTGTGATTGGTTTATTTCTAACTTATGACTTATAATTTATGATCTATGGCTTATTGCAAAAGGCCCATAAGACTACCAATTCATTGTAGAATTAATATTATATTAATTTGACTTTTCACGATGAAAAATTTTACCGTTGTCTAAAATTGATACAGCAACATATTGTATGCCTTCCAACAAGCGACACAATGATCATGTTATCTTGGTTTAATTGACAAACATCAAGGATGTAATGATCCAATGTGTTATTTGTGTCCCTTGTTGGAAGGCACATATAATTACTCAGTACGATAATAAAATGTTTAATAGAAACCGATAATCGTGGAAGGAATGATTTATATTCCTTTCTTTTTACAATTATATTATATATCGCCATCGTTCCTCTTTACAATCATTCCACCGCCTTTCTTCACCGGTGAATTGTTTAGCTCGAGGTTAGACATAAACGGTGATGTGGAATTGAGATGACACATCACATGGAAACTTTGGGAATACTCGTCACCTAAAGGCACAGGATATCCCCACTACTTCTCCATTAAAGTTACCGAAACACACCAACGAGTGATGTTTCCGAACGCAGCCTAAGCTTGAAATTTTCTAGTGACAATTACATGTTAGCTACGACTATATAAATGAGGTTGGAAGACATTGAGTAGCCGATATTTACTTTTTATTTAATACATGCGGAAAAAGCTACATTTAATCTAACTCTATTCGAAATGGATCTCAATTATGCACAGCGTATACATTCTGTTCCAATTGAATTGCGCACAATGATAATACTTTGTGCATTCCTTTGTATTAAGATGTATTAAGCAATTGGAAAACACCCAATAGGTTTGTTCCGCGTCATACGCTCCAACATGCCCAACATGCTTCAATATATCGCATCACATCAGAGCATTCTCCATAAACTAATTAAGAGCACGCTCCATTTGCTTCACTTCAGAAGATTGTACGATTGAGGTATGTGTACTACGTATGCGTAATGGTTGAAAATATTTTGTATAAAAATATATTTAATAAATGTATTTTTAATATAAATATAAAAATGTAATATAACAATACAGTATAATATTAATAAAATAAAATAACATAAAATAACATAAAATAAATAAATAAAATAAAATAAAATAAGAATAATTAAATAAAATAAAATACAAACCTTTACATTATCTAATTTTTCTCTCATTCGATCAAGATTTTCCCGATGTTCCTGTAATTCTGCAAAAATAGATTTGAGACTCAAGGCTGCATTATTACTGTGACATGTATGCGGCTGTCCTC